AACATCCACCTGCATTTTTCCTAATATCCCTCCAAAAACAGAGATGCAGAAAGCAGGAGCAGTTTAGAAGACATGCTTGCATTCCTCTTACATGGAATGATTTCAAAGAGTAATCAGTCAGTATTGTTCATGGTGTGTGGAGCTTTAGGAGGTATTCTGAAATATTTTATAATAACCCTGCAGTGCTCCACATTGCCTGCTGGGCTTATTTTTCAAAAATTTCTGGTGTGAGTGAAGTGCTAATTGGAATATATGTTTCATACACAGAGAGCTTTGTGGAGTGTGCAGGGAGAGGTTTGATTTTCCTGCTGAATTAAATACCTAAAGAGCTACCTAAGTGTGGCTCTTTGTAGTCTCTGATTTAGAGACAGGGTGAACAATTTTCTGGTTTATGGACCACAATTTTTAAAATACTTTAGTTAAAGCTCTTGGCGTAGCTTTTAATCACTCTGGGGAAGTACAAACACCAAAATTCATTAATATCATACATATGTATGAAGAGAAACTTTGGCACTGTGCATGAACCCCACCAGTGTGAGAGGGAAGTATTTGGATTCTTTGGGTTTCATGTGGTTTTGCACAACTTTTGAGCAAATAGCAATCCAGAAATCAAAAACTGTATTTCTTAGTAGATTGTTAGAAAAGCATTATAAAAATTCAGATGGCTTCAGTGACAGCAATGGCCCAGATTTACCAGGAGAAGAGAGACTGATGATTGCCTGTGTCTCATTCCTGCAGTCTCGTGGTGCAGGTCTCTCACAGTACTGCTGGCTTTGCTGTCCCATTTTAGCTTCACCTCCTACTGTCTCCACATCTGCAGCACCTCTGTACAAGAAATAGGCTTATCCCTTGGCAGCATGCAGTAATCCTTGAGGAAAAGGAGTAGGAAGAAGTATTACAGGGATGCCCTTTTGTTGGTCTGGGATGTTCCTGCATGGATGGGTGCATGGGTGCAATTGCTGCTTCCATGCAGAAATGTCACAGCAGTGCCAGCCTGCCGATGGGGCAGCTCAGCACATCTGTAACATGTCACATTTTATTTGATTTTAGTTTTAATTAATTTTCATTTTCATTTTAATTCAAGCTTAAAAGCTTGAAGCAGCTGAAAACTGAGCAGGTCAGCCAGTGGCCACATCACAGAAAGAACATTCATCCCTTGTCTTTTTCCTCCCATCTGGTTTGCCTGTTTTTTTTTTTTTTTTTTTTTTTTTTTTTTTTTTTTTTTTTTTTTTTTCTCTTTTTTCCAGTTTAAATATCTCCCACCTTTAAAATGTTTACAACGGTTCATCCGTGGAAAATGGACAGCTTCCTGCACCAGTCTACCTTCCTGTGTAAGTTACATTCTTACACACACACATATATGTATATGTACGACTCTATTCCCTGTTCATTGCAGGGGAGTTGGACTAGATGACCTTTAGGGGTTCTTTCCAACTCATGATTCTATCATTCTATGATTTTGTTTTATTTTATTTTATTTTTTTTGAGAGGGAAAACCACCCATGTCAGACAGCACATGTGGCGAGTTCCTGAGCAGGAGAGCAAGATGGGCTCCAGGCCCTGTGTGTGATTGAGGGTGGGTCTGTTTGCTCCAGCTTTCCCCCACGTGTTTAGAATTGATATATTTGTACCTTGTGAGCAAAACCTTCTTTACTGATTAACCAAACCGGTAGAATGACTTATTGCCACAGTGGCACTAAAAGCAGGGAAGGACAGAGCATCATTTTTAGACTGGTTACAATTCAGCAGTATTGCTTTTGTTACTATGTCTTGACGACAGATTAAAAACTACCCACACTCTTGAAGCTTAGGGACCAGCGATGGGGACAGTGTGAGATCACATCATTACTGCTAGAAACACCAAGACAAATACTCTGGGACCCCGAAGGGCAGGCTGAGAGCATGTTTGCTGGTTGCAGGATGGCGAAGGTCTCTGCAGAGCCAGGCTATGGACAGGTGGGCAGTGGGAAGACTGACGGGCAAGCCTGGGTGCTGAGCAGGGCCAGAACAGGCCTTGGGGCATGGCTGAGGTCTGAGGCTGCTCCTTTCTGAAGCACAGCTGCTGCTGTCCAGATGGAGGTTCTCCTTTGGGAGGAATGGCTAATTAAAAGAGCTCTCTGTTTCCATGACAGCTGTGAAGGTAAAGGTGATGTTTGGCTCTGATGTGACAGATGGGGAAACAGCTTTGGGAGCCTCTGAGTCTAATAGACATGGAGCCCCACGCGGACGATCTCTTTGAGCCCTCTCTCAGTGATGAGAGCAGGCAGCCTGCCCCGCCTGCACAGCCCTTTCAGCAACAATTACAGAAAATATCCTAGGAGTCAAGGGGATGAAAGAGGGAAAGGAGTCTTTTGGGAACTTACAGAAGTAAATCCCCAATGAAATCAGTCATCCCTGGGCAACGCCAAAGCTTTTTCTATCTTTCAGCTCCATAGCAGTGCACCAAGAGACTTCCCCCCTCCACATAAAAGCTCCACAAAACATGTGGAAGGTGATGTCCTCCTTAGCTGAGCTGTGTTCTTCTGCAATGTCTTAATCAGTAGCTACTGCTGGTTTCTAATAACAAAGGCAGGTGATTGGGGTTCGCCTTCAGTACAAGCTGTCGGGCATGTCTAAATGTTTATATGACACACAGGAGTATGCCAATGAATTGGCCAACGTGAATGATGTAGCAGAGGTGTGGAACTTCTGAGATAGAGAAAGCAGAGATTGGGTGAGCAGTAAATGGTCAGATGGTGAGAGAGGGCAAGACAAAGTTCTGAAGGATTACAAGAAAGCGGAATGGAAGAATCAGTCCACTAAAAGGCGACAGAACTGATTGCAAAGGTATGATTAAGAACAAATTGGTGAGGAGCTGTGGAGGAGAGATTCAGGACAGATTCGGTGGCACCAAGGACATCTGGGATGTAGAAGGCTAAGTTAGGATTACAATACTCGGTAGAGGTGGTGGACATCAGGCTGAAGCTCTTTGATGCAGATCAGGCATTTCTGGCAATAGTGGTGGGCTGCTCTTTAGATGGGAGTTGAAAAATACTGGGGGGGAAATGGTGCTTGAACTTCTGCATCATTTCCTAGTGGCACTGGTGCTGAAGTGTTAGCAGCCTTAGCACTGAAGACATGGGGAAAGTAGGCATGTGGGCTGTGGCCCACAAATGTCCTTCCTGTCTAGGGGACGATAATGTAGTGAAACGAGTGCAGCCTGAGCTCTGCTGTACCTAAATGATGAGAACTGTCAGTCCAGCAGATTTCTATAGGGAAAGATGGCATCTTTGGCAAGGCTGAATGGGAGTTATTCATTATTTAATTTTTTTTTTCTGGCTTCTTAATGAAATTTTTGGGCAAAGATGGTACAGCTTGCCTTGTGTCTAGGAAATGGCTCCTGACAGACCAAGATGCCATGGGAATGACCACTTTAGTCTTACTGCATTCCTCCATGCCACCTTTATTTGTTTCATGTAACATCCAGTGAAGATACTCCTGGGACACAGGCTTTTCCACATGCTCTGCTGTTCAACCTCAAGTGTGGGCCTTGTCCAAAGCTCATATGTGCTTGGATACTGCAATAAATACTTATAAAACATTACTGGCTTATCAGAGGTGGCTGATAGTGGTGAAAAAGTAGAATTTTGAATAACAGGAAGCAAAGTTCTACTTTCCTCCCTAGACCTGGGGAAAGACAACCAAAATTAGAAATTGGGCTTAGAGGAAATGGTTAGGAACCACTGCTGGCACTTGTTCTGTAAAAGATCCATATGGATTAGTGGGCAATGCTGGTGGTAGGTGGATAGTTGGACTAGATGACCTTACGTGCCTTTTCCAGTCTCAAGGATTCTATGATTCAGTATTTTTTATCTTGAGAGAAGTTTCCTGTGTTATTTCATACATAAAAAGGGGCCATAGGAATGACAATACAGTACAAACACTATGTCACCACGCTGTGCTGTTTACAGGAGATGGGCAGAAGCATGTAGGGGTGAGCCTACACTGCATCAGAGGTTTCTCTGTGGTGCTGCTGGGGCTGAGTCAGGCCCATGCTCACAGTTCAGGCTATGCAAATGGAGCTATTTAAAGAGCAACAACTGTTTTTGGAGCATTAAAGACACTTCAAATTTGTTACGTGTTTATTGGAATGAAAAATTATGTTATTAGTTCAGCTGGTTGATTTTCTTTATGTGGAACATCAATCTTCTGAAAAATGCAGCTCTGCTGAAACAGGCTCAGTGGATGAAGGCAAATTGTTACTTTTTAAACATAATTTCTAAGGAAAAAAGAAATGCATATATTTTTTATATGTCACATTTGTGTGGAAAAAAAAGCAGTACTTTTCCAGACAGCCCAACTTACAGTGCCTATAGTCTGTAAGGGCAATCTATTTTGCCTAACTGAAGGTAAGGAGCATGTTTCTGCTCTGCTCAGTGGGAGATGGATTGGGCTCCAGAATGGACTGCCTGGTTACAGTTCTTTTGACATTCTTATGATGCTTCTATAAAGTAAACTGGAAATCAAATTATCCCCCTTTACCCAGCCTGTGAACAAATCTTTTTTGCTTACAGGTTCTAACTAGCACTTAGAGCCACAATATTCCTTTTGCTTGTATTATATATGCCCGGGATGTGCCTCTGTGATGCTGGGATTCTGACCGCCCCGTTCCCATGTTTCCTGGGACTGGAAGGAAAATTTGAGTTCATGCCTCTCAATCCAGGCAGACATTCCCTGCACCTGTATATCCTCCTGCACCTCACCGTGCCCACACAGAATTGGTTTGGTTGTCTGCGTGTAATTCATTAATTGTTCCCCTCTCTGGAGTAAGAAATCAAAATGGAGATTTCTCATTTCTATCACGCAGTAGTTCATTAATTCTACTCATCTACTTGCAAATGATGTTTCTCTGTGTAACGCCAAAGCGTGTCACTCAAAATTAACACAGACTACGTACAATTGAAAAAAAAAAAAAAAAGAAAAGATTTTTTGGATATATATTTTATTTGACAGTGGTTTAGAATATCATACAGTAAACAAGATTTCTGTAAAAGTTAATTTATCCATAGTGGTGCGTTTCATAAAAATAGTTGCTCACTTACAGCCTTTCTGTGACTATTAATACATGGAATTATATTTATAGAGATAGAGCTGTACAGGGTAAATTCACAGCTAACACTACACAGAAATATTATTTGGAATGGGGTTTAGATGATGTGCTGTCTTCACAGGTTATCGATTACAGCCGCATAAAGCAATTACTGCACAAGGAGTAGCTGTGAACTGTGCAAATTAGAGTTTATGCAAGCATAATCTCCACTGTTTTTTCAGATTTCATTGTTTGCTTTCTTTATACATAAAAATAAGATACTGGGACATGCATCTACACTACAGAAGCATTGTCCAAAATCAGATTCAATAAATTAATGGCAAATTATATTGGAATTATATTGGATTCTAGTTCAGGGGATAAAGATTTGTTGGGTTTTTTTTCTGTTTTTTTTTTTTTTTCTTCTTTTTTCATTAAATAATAGTTTTATAAACAGCTACGTGGACTTGTGCTTTTTCAGAAATTATACATGGAATTTCTTTTTCCGAAAAAAAAAGAAAAAAAAAGAAAAAAAAAAGAAAAAAATTATTTGAAAGCTGCAAAATCCTTTACTTGAGGCTTTTCAAATAATGGGACAGGAAGAAACATGCCTATAGATCTCTCAGTCCAGTGCAATGTTTGAGACATACAGCCATGTGCTGATTTCTTGGAACAAAGCCAATCTTAATCTAATGTTTCAGCAGAGCATGTGAGGAACTAAGACTGCTTGAGAACAAACTTTTTGAGTTTCTGACTATGTGATTGTTTTTTTAATTACCAATATATTATTGCCCAAGATTTCTTTATTTCATTTTAATTTTGACAGACAAATAAGCATATGCACATTTATACGTACACACACGCATCTATTTGAACCAAGATAGTGACTGACTGACTGAACTTAGACTTATCTCCTGTGAAGGCAGACTGGAATGTTTACCTGGCACTTAAGGCTTGAAATTCAAAACAGACAAGCAAGAAAGACTAAAATAAAAAGAAAAAAAAATGGAGGTAGGGAAGAAATGATAAAATGTAAACCGTTTTTAAAATGGAAATATATCGAATTTACAGATTGAGGGCACCAAAAAGTGTATTTCTGTCAATTACTGTTACGTGCCTCAAAGACACCTGCTCTGCCAAAGCGAGGGAATGGAAGGTGAGAGCATCCTAACGAAATGGGGGTAGGTATGAAACATAGCACTGTTGATGAGTGAAACTATCATTTTCTGCAGGAGGGAAAGGCCTTTCCTTAAGGAAACTGCAGCTTTTTCTCTGTAGCAATCTTCCTTTCATTGCAAGGGCCTTGGGGATATTGGAGTTTTGAGCCTGGCCAACTGGCTTGTGTGCTACTCTGCAGGAATTGGGGAACCTGTAGTAAATTGCTTTGGAGAATTATTTGCAAATACAACTCCACCCTAGCTCCTTTCCATTGTACAGAAACATGGTTGGCTCACAAAAATGGCAGTAGAAATGGTATCACAGAAACTAATCCACTAGATTCCCAACTCCTCCTGTAGCGTCCAGTGAACTGTGCTACAGGGTGTCACGTGGACTATCCCAAAGTGGTGACAGTGGAGACGTGTCATGGGCGTACAGTTCCAAATGCTTCAAAGAAACCCTTTAACCCCTGTCTAGATATGTCAAGAACAATTTATTTACAACATTTTAGCTCTGTGAAAAGATTCTCTCTCAGTTTCAGCTTGCTCCGTGCAGTTTTATTTAAGGCGATGTTCCAGTTTGCGATTGCTCTAACTTGTTCCAGTTTCTTGATATAAAGTTTGAATGAAATCCAAGTCCTTCATGCAGTGGAAAAATATGCTAAAGCTACACTGCACTATCCTTCTCTGTTGTACTGTCCTTCATTTGTTTTGGTTTCTTCCATAGCTGCCAAAGTCCCTAAAATGGAACTGGGACTTTAGGGTCAATTTCAAATCTCCGTGTTGACTATATGCTTTTGAACTTATTAGATACTGTGCACATTGTCATGGAATTACACACTAATGTTTTCATCCCTCAATGCTTTGTGTATATGTGTGATAGTTAAAATAAATTAAAATAAATCAACGTGAGACAACAACTAAGAAGAATGTTCTGCGTCAATTTGAGACAGTTAGAGGGCAACAGTCCCGTGCTTATCTGCTCATGGCAGAAGTACCAGACTTCAGGACGCCAGGTAGCTTATCTGAGCCGGGGATTTTCCACGGCCCCGGGGAGACCGTTGCCTTCCGAACTGTAGTGTTGGTGCTGCGAGTGCTAATGGGGTGGAGATGTCCCTTCCTGGGGAACTCGCTGGGTTTCCCATCAGGATCCCTCTGGCTGTGATCCATATCGCTTCCAGGCGAGCTGCAGCGATTGCCACTGTATGTCTTGGTAGCACCTGCATCAAGCTTGGCATGGTCAGGTGCTGCAGCTGACTTCTTCTCACTGGTATTTGTGGATCTGTGATCTTCTCTTTTGCTAAGAGATCCTCCCCTCTTGCTTTCCGGCTTCTTCAGCCTTCCAAACTGTTCATCACTGCTTCCAGCACACACGTGCTCTCTCGCGCCAGCCTCCATCATAACGCTGTGTCCCACCGCTCTGCTTTCCGAGGTGAGCTTGCCACCATCCGTCACCTTACTTTTGCCTTCCAAATATCCTTTCCAGGAAGGCTCGTCGTGCTTTGACCTGTCTGCCTTTTTAGGACTTGCTGACCTTTCTCTTTGCTCTCCTAACCTTTTCTTTTTGTGGCCGTTCACCGAAAGCTCCTTTGGTTTCCTTCCATCGTGTTCCCTCTTGATATCCCATGTTGGTTCTGGGCTTATCTGGTGAGAAGGGTCAGAGGGTGGGGCTATGTGTGATGAGGATAATGGTGAGATTATGTCGTCGAGGGACAGAGCTACTTCCGGCAGACCTGGGGAGGCGGCAGCGGGAGCGCTCCAGGAGCTTGGCTCGTCTGTGGTGGCAACAGAGAGAAGGCATCAGGGTGTGCTCAGCACATCATGCACATCGCACATACAGCAACATCAGCACCCAAATCACGCTTGAGAGTCAGACTCAGCCTTTTAGGGGAAGTGAAACTCCCAGCGGGGTCAATGGGAGGGAATTCTTTACTTAGAGGGCACAGCTGAGGCCCTGGCACAGCTGCCCAGAGAGCTGTGGGTGCCCATCCCTGGAGATGCTCAAGGTTGGGTGGGATGGGGCCCTAGGCAGCCTGAACTGGTGGGCCTGGAACTGGAATTGGCTTTAACATCTGTTCCAACCCAAGCCATCCTATGGTTCTATGAAAATAAACCAGTCCCACTCTCCCCCAAATAAATAAAGAGCCCAGGAGAAAGAACCACGGGGCTGGTGCTGCACATGCTGGAAACTTCTGTCTTTTTTTATATAGGTTCTGCTTTTCTCTGCCTACGTTAAATTACTCTTAAAATAATAACGATGCGCTCATGAAATCAAATTGCCTCTTTTGTAGCCATATAATGTACTTCTTAGCTGGGCAATATCAGTGCTGTCTCTGAGAACAAATGAGGAGGACTTTCTGCCATCTATAAACATGTCCCCACAAGCATATAATAATTGACAAGAATTTGTAGCTCAGATAAGGTCATCATTGAATTCTGTCTCATTTTTTTTTCTAAATAGATATAATATTGCGCTGTTTATGGCACCACAATTCTTGCAGGGTACTTACAAAGCTCCACCCTTATATCACAGCATCAGCTGCTAAGGCTCTTTCTTGGCTGTGTGTTTTGGATGTCTCCTGGTTACTTAGCCTCAACACAGTATGGTTGGATTGTGCAGATTCTGTTTAATTTAGCTAAATAGACATGTCCTTTGCTGAATCATGATGGTTTTGTTAATTCACTAGTACAAAACACAATATTCTGAGACAGCCAAATGCTTTCTTTTGCATATCTGATCCTCATTTCTTTTGATTAACGTTCAGGCAGACAATGAATCTGTCACGACTAATGACAGCACAGCTCTTATTCTTACCCATCTACACCGAGGTTAGAGAAATCACTGAACTTGGCTAATGTCATTCTCTATTTAGAGAATGTCTCAGGGATCCATGGAAACGAGGTAGAACCTGTGGCAAGAGCTGCATATTTCACGGGGGAGAAAACATAACCTTCTAGCTGGAAAACAAGCCTGGTCTTCTGCGGGTCTGGACTAGCATCCCTCAGTGATACCAAATGCCCTTAAAAGCTACATTTGCTTTTTGCGGTGCTGTGACTGCTTTCAAATTATCATGAAGATGCACATCATCTTGAAAAATGGAGCGGGATTTACTGCCCAGTCTGGGACCTGCAGCTTGTTTGACTGAGACAGCACATTTAAGTTAATAGCTTGATTGAGTGATTGCTGTGTTGTGGATAAAAATAGGAGAGAAAATAGTGAGGTGGGTGACGTAAGTGGAGGGAGCAGCGCGGTTAGCTTAGGAGCTGTTTATTTTCCCAGATGGTGTTTGTCATATGCTTTTGCATAATGAGCATATGTGTGGAGAGGATTAGCATTTGAGAGGGGAGAAAGTACAAGTTCTGTGTAAGACAAATAAACTTTGAGCTTAGAATCTAAATGGACTGAGGGTCCCAACTGATTTTTTTTTTTTCAAATCACACTTCCTTACCCTCCAGTTAAGGCTGAGTAATGTACCATCTGCTCCCTGCTTGGCACTCGAGGAGGAAAAATAAATGGGAGGATCAGGCATGTAGAGTTATCAGCTCTTAGGCGCTTGTCTACAAAAGGCATTTGCTTCTGTGGGCTTGTTCTCAAATTCTGTAATTCCACAGGCCACGGTGGTGAGGGGAAGCAGACCCCACCCAGGCTTTCCTTAGATCCAAAATCCAGGAGATTCTGCTTTGGTCAGCCCTAAAAACCAGTGCTCCTTCAGGGGATCCCAGTCCCTCTGCCTGATCACTTTACATCTAGAGTGGGACCAGGCAGTGCAGCACGAATCTGTGCATCAGCAAGGTGTCTGAGCCAGCGCTGAACACCACCTCAGGTCTTCACAAATTAATCAATTTGCAGCAGCATGAAGCTCGGTACAAGCTAATTTATGCTGATCCCTGCAGATTACATTAGCCTGAGTTAACCCCTGCAGAGAGAGGTGGATACACAGGGGCCCCACAGCACTGCACACTACTCAGGGTGGTTTTCATCGGTTAAATCATCAGTACGTGATCGGTAAGAATGAAGAATGGAAACAACCTCCGCTCAGTTTCTGCCTCTTATGGCACAGTTGCACACCACCGCACACCTTCATGGGGCAGAGGTGGAGGTCATTTTGATTTAATTACAGTCTTTCTTTCCTATTTGTGAGATGTTGCTTCTCACTGAGAAGTAGCGAAGGCCAGAGGGCCATAATAAGATCTTGAGTGAGACCCAGAGAGCAGCTGAAGCTATAGAAATAGCTGTTACTTTGGGAAACACCAGCTGTGCACCAGCAGAAGCGTCGGATGGCCTGGGGCAGGAAGGTGCTCTTGAAGAATGAGAGTGCTGCTGCACAAAATGTGCCCCTGTTCAAAGATCAGCTGTTCTTGTCCAAGTGCAAGGAGGACACCATGTGAAAAAACAGGGCTGCAAACACCGCTCGCTGCTCCTCTGGGGCAGAAAGGATAATGCTGTACTTGTTATTTGTGGGAGCGGTCTGCTGTTTTATTCCCTGGAGATAAGGTAGTGATGGGAAATCCTGCCCTGCCTGATTAATGGGCAATTTTGAATTTTGAATTTTTTTTTTTTTTTTTTTAAAGAGGAATCACCAAATATCACAGTGAGAAAATGTAGTGGGTGAGAACCAACTTCAGAGTGAATCAGCAGGGGCACATTTGTTACATGTAATAATATGCATATATATATATATCTGTAAGCTAGAACTTGCAGCATGATAGATATTATCAGATCTCTCCTTCTCCCCTAGAAAACACCAACAAAATTAAAACACAACCAACCAAGCAAGAGGTCTTGCAGCTATAGCTTGTGGAAGAGTTTGGCTGCAGGACAATGCCAGGAGAGCCACTGGCTGCAGTGTGACATACAGAGCCTGACCTTCTCACGGGGCAGACATCTGTTTCCAGTAGCTGAAGGAAAAAGCTGCTGTGAAACAAAATTGCCATTCCTACTCTCTTGTGATATAGTACTTGTGTGTAAGAAGTTGAAGTGACTTTCTATAAGTTCCAAGCACAGCAAAAACCCAACGTAAGTTGCTTTTCCTTCTAAATAAAAGGAAATTAGGTTGAAAGTCTTCTTCAGCTTTGATAGATGTCCATGACAGCCAGCCTTTGTTGCAAGATTTCCCTGGCAGGTGAGGACAAAATTGATGAGAGGATATTGTAACCAACTTTTCTCTAATATTTGAAAATTACGGGGAAACACCAACATTATTAGTGTGGGGCAAAGCACAGTACTGTAAGTAATTTATAGTTCAAAATATAAACATTTTTAAGAGGTCTGTGCAAACCACAAAAGTTCATTTGGAAGTATTCAAGCAACGCTGAAATGGTTGCTTTTCTATAACAAACATAAACACAAGAAAAATGTCAAATATTATTCTTTTAGCAACTTAATGAGCAATTTCCTTTTGCACGTATTCTAAGGTTATAGCTACATTTTGGAGATACTTATTAGTATGTCTGAAAAAGATAATGTTTTGTCCTAATTTTTAAGCTTTATATAAAACCTGCAGAGTTAAGTGCAAACATAACCTACATATAGTGTCTGTTATCCCAAAGTATCTCAAAACATTTTGCAAGCATACTCAACCAGAGACAGAGCAATGATTTTACCCTTTTTTCCCCTCAAGGACAAAATGAAGACCGCGTATCTTTAATAGAGCTTGAACTACTAATGCCCTAACAGCTTCCAAGCAGAAGTGAAGGATATTGAATTCATTTGAAACTACAGGAGAGATTTAGGGATGATGTAGTTTTAAATTTGTGCTTTTACTTTGTCACTCTGGGTATCATACTTACTGAGTGAGAAATGAATTTTCCAAGTTATACATCTCACTGAAGGCTAATAGATGCCTTCCCCCTTTCTCTGAAGGGAGAAAAGCTCCCTTGACCTACCAATTTAGACAAGATAAATGACCAGGGGGCAGCACTATCATCAGTCACAGTGACGGCATTTGATTTGGTGTAATTTAGTAGGTGTTTTCTGGGTGGTTTTTAGTTCCCATGAGTGACTGGCCTGCAGGTTGATGGCTCTTCTATGAGATGTGCAAGAATGACTCACCTGTGACCTGTTTCACATAACTCTCAGGCAAGGTTTCAATTACTAACTGAGTTAAGAGACACCGTAGACACACAATCTCCAGTGTGTAGGAGGACAAGAGAGAAAGGCAGCCATTTTGGAGGAAGAGGGACAAGGGGAAAGCATCAGGAACAGGAGGTTTCTGTCGTAAGGCTTTTTTATTTGAAGTAGAACTGACACATACGTGAGTAACTTACTTTGCTGTGCCAGCTTATGTGTATTTAACGGACAAGGAATGAGGCTATCACTCACTTAATTGATCCTCTCCTAACTAACAACTAATCCTTTCTCTGGATTCAGATGATCTCTGGATCTCTGAACCACCAGCAAAAGAAGCCCATAGCCTTACTGCTAATTGAGAAGCGTTGTGCCTGTCTTACTTTCTGAGCATTGCCAAGGTACCATGTCAGGAAAGAGCTCAGCCTACTGATGTGTTTATTTAGTAAATTTCTGTAGTAGATTTCATTGCAGTTTGCCTGTCTAAGACTGCATCTAAATCTGGCCTTGCTCTTATCTGCTCAGCTGAGATCTCAGATCAAGAGAGATCACACTCTGGATTTGCCGCTAGGTTCTCCTTTTGCATCAAAATGTTTTAAATAATTGCTCAGCGGTTTATCAGCAATGTAGGATTTTTTACCAGATAAAATTGAGCGGAAGATAGAAATATTAATTTTATAGAAATATTAATATTTAATAGAAATTTAA